GATATCCTAGGTGTAGACAAAGAACTAAAATTAAATCTAGAGAGTAAAATTGAGCTGTCTGTACCTCGTATAGGATAAACACCATCTTCTAAAAAACTAATAAATTTCAAGAATTTCCTTTGCACTGGCTCAATATTATTTATGTGAACAGCTTTTTAAAGTTTTTGTCATTCAAGATTGTTGGCAGTTATCCCCCACGTGGTAATCTACTTTTAGGTACACACATTCTTGACTCGTTAGCTGTTTGAAGAAGACAACTTGGTGCCAGATTTATTTGGAAGATTATATATGGTAGGTTGGACTGCAGTGATATCGTTAATTCGTTAAGGTTTCATGTTCCTCGTCCAAATTCTCGTCTTGCTATTAGGTTTTTAGTTAGAGCAAACAAAATTAAAGGTGTGTATCTTACGAATGAAATAAAGAAGAGTTTTTTTTGGAATGTTCTTTATATTATTGGGAAGTACGTTGTACAACGCTTTTAAAGCTCCATAAATCTTCTGTAAATATTGCCAGTTTCTTCTGATTTGACCCTGATCTTGTTTCATCTGGCGTTTGCACCGTTCCCTTTTCTTTTCCATGGATAAGTCACACACGATCAGCATATTTGAGCCCCGCATTATCTTTTACGCAATGCCTTCTGTCGTAGTGGTCTTTTTTGCGCCGTTTTTCTGCCTCCGTTTCGCTCCTAACCTAAAACTCTTCTTTAACACGTTGTAATAATAATAACTGATAAAAAATCGCAACAGATATTAAGATATTACATTCGAAAGTGATAAGATTTTCAGTACGACTGATTCACTGAAGTCGAGGTCTCTGTTAGGCCAGCGGTCATCGCTTGTTCCAAAATTATTATTAAGATTTTAGATAACCAGAGTATACATGATATTAAATCGTTCATTAATTCAAGTTAATGATTAAACCAAAATGAGTTCATTAAGATTACATCATGGACCGAATCCCATCATATAAAAAGCATATTTGAACTAGACACAACACGCACACATTAAATACGATCAGAATCAAAAGAGAGAAATGCGTCGCTCTGGAGGGGCCTCCCTCGAGAATAAATGTTCAAATTAAAGCTGTAAAAAAATATCACATTAACGTAATACAAAATAAAGATAAAATTTGACGGCGGAGAGAAAAACCATTGAAAGGTATGACTTTTATCATTCTTTCTCCCAAAATGAATTAATTTTTAAAATTAGCTCAAATGCTACTAATGAACTATGTATTTTAAATCTCTAGGGAGAAATTATGAACCATGAATAAATATAATAACTTAGGTAAAATTCGTTCAGAATTTTATGTGTCGTTACTAAAATGAATTAAGCCTGAATAAGTGAATTTCTTACCACGTGTTTATAGCAGATCGTAAATATATTCGTTGAGGGGGACCGTAGCGTCGAACGCGATAAATTTTTGTTTAAACAGGCGCGTTTTTGTAAAATTACAAACGTACCCTCCCCTAACATGTGCTTATACTCGTACTACCAAAACAAGAAGTGGGTCACCTCAAATGGAAGTGATATAAGAAATAGCGTACTTCCAAACTTTGAAAAAATTTGAAAGAGTCACAATACTGACCGATAGTGAATAAAATTGTTTATCTATAGCCTGCCTGAAGATGTCGTTGTCATTGTTATTGAAATTAGGAGAGTATAACTTAGAAAATAAAACTTATCGTACCTAATTCCCAAAGAGCAATTCAATCTCATTGTAAAAAACGAACATATTTATTCTAAAAAAATTGATCAGAGTTTATTTCGACAGAACTTCTCTCGCTCCTGAAACAAATCCCTCTTCTTTGAAACATTATAAAATTTGCGATTTTTGTTTTGTGATAACCTCTATAAAGTAAAAAGCAATGACGTAAATAGCATCCCCCGCAGCCTCTGCGCCGCACAAGTGCGATCGATAGAAAATATATTTAAACCAGATAACCAACAAGAAAATGAATTCTTATTAGTAATTGCATGGTTAACTTTGAGCACCTATGTTAATACCTCGAAAGAATTCGACTATAATCACGTACAAGTATCAGAGACCGCATAAAAGAAAATGAAATTTAATTAATTATGTCTCCTTAAAACAGACGAATGGAGTGATTAAACACAACAAAACTGTGTGAAAATTTACCTAGTCCATATATTTAGTAAGAGGGTAAAAAAGTCAAAAAAATATTGGTAAGATGGAGAGTAAGCAATTCTGAATCCGTAAGTAATAAATACATCTTGTATGTATTTTCAATTACTAGCATATTGTTGGTTGCCTAAACAAAAATATAATTTCGTTTTATAAAATTCAAAATCATAAAAGTATTGCCAGCAAAAACCTATAATCAAAGACTTCAAATATATATAGACCGGCGATAGAACGAAAAAGCTGAAGCTAACCGGTCGCCATTTTGGATGTGACCGAAACCGCGGGAAGTTTAAAATCGTATACAATCGACTTCATATCATTAGTGAGTTTGCACACCATACACACACAAACAAATAAACTTCAACAATACTATAATTGCCGAATCTTAAATGCACGGAAACACGATCAAAAGAACCAAAGAAACTATGATCACATCCACGTCACAACTGAAAGTGATACATAAGAAAGAAATAGGTTATGGGTATGGGTTGTTGCGGTGTTATTAGTGACAGAAAAGTAACAGCAATGGCGGCGATTTCTGTTGACAGAACTGCTTCACGAAATAAAATAGAATTTAGGGTGACAGCCAGTCTATATATATTTGAAGTCTTTGCCTATAATGAAGAACTGCTACACTGAAAAGAAATATGTACAGGGTGATTATTTTATCAGTTCACGCTTGGATAGGCAACACATTTTACTTTCCATACACGACTTCGTCTTAATTTTTTATAAATATTAAATAACGTGCAGATTGCAATGAACCTATTCATTTGTTTTATTTTAATTATATTCGTTTAAGGATCGAATAAATTACGTTCTATTTTCTTTAATTTTTGCCATTAATTTAGTAGCTTGACGTCTTTGTTGTTATTATGACATACTGTGATTTTTGTGTTATTACATTTACTAACTATGTTTGCTAATTTTAAAAGATTAATAGACTAATCAAAGTTGCTTATGATAAGTATACTGTGTAGCCTGCACGAAAGCATTCAGGCGTGAACAGATAAAATAATCAGCCTGTATTATTTATTTATACCTTACATATAGAGTGCATATTGGGTTGCATAACCTCAAACAATAGCACATAGCCACAGATTACGGATACCAGATGGTTCACTTGTGGGCGTAACTGTCCGCAAATTTTCCGTGCGCATGACACTAAAATTGGTGCAGCACTTTTCAATCTCTTTGAAACTGGTTCGACAGACAAACACGCAAAATAATATTTACAATGAAGCAGATATAAGAATAAAAGTTTAGGTAATAATTCAGGGAATAAATAACATTACAAGGATTAATTTCTACGTTTTTTGGTTACGAAGCAATTTTTGAAAGTTTTAAAATAATCAGAAAATTAGTTAAATAAATACCTACCTGCATTAAACTGTGTTATAGTATCGTTTAGTAAATATATCTTGTCTATAATGCCTGATTTTGTAAATGAATAAAAGAATAAAACATTTTCCCTTCTTTTCCTTTATTTAAACTCGTTTCAGTCATTTACGGACAAACTCTTTGTCAATTGTTTGCGCTTTCTACACGAACATGTCTTAAATAACCACCAAAAATCGAAGATCACTATAAAGACGAGTAGATTAGAAAACTGTAACAACAAAGTTCAGAAAGGCAAGCGCAGAAAATTTCATTAACCATTCCCTCCAATTCTTCTAACTTTCGGTAACCCTTTAAGCCGTATAGTTAAAGAGGTTACGTTTATTCACCATGCAAAAATTTTAACACCACTTTCTTGTTAGCACTATATTCGAGAATACGTGTTTTTTATGCTCTAAAATTTTTTAATGCCGATGCATATGTCCGCAATTCTGTCAGAGGAAATTGTGAAATGTTAAGCATTTGTAATAATCATAAATCATTTTGTGTAAGGCAAATAAATATTTTGTTCGTTTTTTCTTCACTTAGAACCTCATCCCTTGCATCATCGCTGCAATTTTTCTCTGACCGCCGCGCTTTTAAATTCAAAGCTTGCGAACCAATTTTGGTAGAGCGTGCGTAGTAGCGTGAATTCCGCTTGAAATCTCGGGACACCGACTTCAAAGTGCCGATAGCTGAGTAAACTATCTGGTATTCGTAATCTGTGGCTTTAGCACGGGCTTTAGTATCCCATATGTTTGAATAAATCATTTTAATTTTATTTAGAAAATAAGTAAATATCTGCTCTGAATTAACCACAGAAATATACTTTTATTTATTAAAATTCGTTATTTATAAACACTTAATTCACACAGACAAACGTTAGATTATCAAGTCATACAATCGGTTAAAAAAATTGTTCAATCTGACAGATTTTTCTTCTAGAGACATTGTTGTTGTTGTTGATAATCTTTCCATGGCTGTTGTAACTGTAAAGAACTCCTTTAAACTAGATGGTGTGGTCATTTTACAACAAACTTTGGGAAACTTCGTGTTTGTTGCACAAATTTGTGATCTCAGAAATCTCAGCAGCTCCTTTGGTACCGGTTTTTGGAGATTCACTAAATACATCAGGGGTCCACAATGCACGACAGGGATACAGTGAAACCCAACATCACACGGTTGCTTCTCCAGTTGTTCTAAAAACTTGTGTGTTCACTGATAAAGATTGCGAGATAGAAATACGTACCTTTGATTATTGTAGCACTAGGAGTAGCCACTGTATGTGAGTCCTTGCTGAATTCACTCTTCTTTCTAAAATAAAAAAAAAGTATTAGTATCTGATAAAATACCAGTAAAAGAAATCTTACAACGTATCGTCTTCATCACCAGCACAGTTATCACAATTTTTGCTTTGTGACTGATTTATAAATAGTGAAATACAGAGGATAAAAACTAAAATTCTGTGAAAAATCATGATGACACGACTTTCAGAACGCAAGAATGTACTACAAACTACATCCAAAGTGAGGGTAGCATTTATAGTACTGACAAACAAATCCAACTAATGTCTTTCCAGGAAGACCTAATACCGGTTATCATCGCTTCATTAGAAACTCCTTTCTTCCTAATAGTGGACCTAATGGTCTGAAATAGTCCTAAGTGGTTTATTGATGTCTTTAAAGTGTACTTTAAAATCATACATCGGCTAAAATTCTTACGACCATCCCCACTCAGTATCCCTTAGGTGGGGGTCATACGACGGGAACACGAAAACAGTACCAGTTCTCCAAAAACCCTTTATCGAAAGGTTTTCTGAAGACTAATATAAATTATACACGAAACTCTTTCTTGTGATGTTTTTACTATTTGTGATTTCGTTTTTGTGTTTGATTTTCAACGGACGATCTATACTAATAGGTAGTACTTTTATAGTGAATATTGATAGGATAGATCAAAATATGAATATTTTTTAGACCCGACATGTGGCCCGCCCCACAGAACAGGAACATGTACCTTAATAACCGAGTGCCCCTACTTTATGAACTTAATAGGACACGCAAACTTAAAATCAGTACCAGGGCCTGTGTTACACCAGGTTAAAACAAACATGTGTGGAGAACTGGACCAAACTTACAAAGTGTGTTGTCCTGAAGACAACCGCAATCTCAGCAGCCACCGGAATTTCCATTTGCTACCGTTGACAACGTGTGGGTTCATCCTTCATGGGGGCAGAATTACAAACGGGGACACAGCTACCCCTCGAGAGTTTCCCTGGATGGCTTTAATCGCCTACAAAACAGGTCGGTACTTTTACAAATCTTGAGAAAGTACAACTACTGTGTTGATTGTTGTAGAAGACGAAAACGAATTTAAGTGCGGGGGGAGCCTCATCACCAGAAACTATGTTTTAACGGCGGCCCATTGCGTAGATGATAAATCCGTGTAAGTCGTCGTGAGTACCAAATAGTAACTACTAAAATAATGCTTGGTGCTTTAGGCTGGGTATTCGTCTGGGGGAGTACGACATATCGCTAGAGCACGAGTGTTACGACCATCAAAGCTGTGAACCTCCAGTTCAAGACATAATACTTAATAGACAAAATAATAATTCATAAAAATTATAACCCTTCCACTTACATCAACGACATAGCTTTAGTTCGACTGTTAGCTCCAGCAAACACCGAAAATGGTAATTTTCAACTCAAAATTAAAAAAAAAACCTTCATTTTTTTGTTCTAGCTAATGTAAAACCTATCTGTTTACCAACCGGTGACCTACTCAAAGCAAACTTAGTCGGAAAATACTTGACGTTAACCGGGTGGGGTATCACCGAATCAGGTTTGTACTTAAATCAGTTTGTAGAATATAAATAAAACTAAGAACTTTTTAGGTCATAAAAGTATGATTTTGAAGAAAGTTTCGGTTCCAGTGGTTCGACTAAGTGCATGTCGAAGGGCGTACGGGAAACAGACTCTACATCCGAAGAAACAGATTTGTGCTGGTGGGCACGATTCTGGATTCTTAAATTATGGGGGCTGACCGTAGCCAGCCGGCACTTAGGCCTCGCCTTTGGGCCCATTGTACCTTCCCCAAGTCCATATCAGGGTGTTTTCCCGCTCCTCTACTCGTCAAGCCACCCAACTGCTTGAATGTACTTGAGTAATGCAGAGGGTGGAAACTCCCTGATATTTGCCATACTAGGCCAGATGTCCCCTAGTATGGATTCCCTGTAGGAGGCTAGGGCTGGACACTCACGAAGAATGTGCTCAGCTGTTTCCTCTTCTTCATTGCATCCACGACAGATTGGGTCTGTTACCACCCCTATCGTATGTAGATGTTTATTCAGGCGCGGATCCAGGGGGGGGGCAATGGGTGCAATTGCCCCCCCCTGACACACGACCGAGGTACTTTATTTTGACCAATTTCAAAATTTTGAAATCATATTTCATTTTGTAAATACAGTGTATAACCTCTATAATCCGAACTCACGATTGTCTCAACATCCAGTTATCCGAACAGAGGCTATTTGAAGTCGATGCCTCTTTAATCCAAACAAAAACTCTGCAATCCGAACCGAACTTGAAAACATGCATCTACTTCCAAAAATGACGCAAGATCTTTCTGCATATGTTGTATGTAATATTTTGAAATTTTTAAAAATTGCGATATTTCAAAGCACTGAATTAATTAACTAATTCTGGAAAAACGGATGAAGTTATCGGAGACCCGAAATCTACAAGAGCAAGTGTTTGGTTAAATTTCGAAAATCATCGAACATGGGTCGAAATTTGCATGAGAAAAATTTCATTTTTGAAAAAATTTCCTAAAAATTCTGAAAAAATTCAGGGATATATATCCCGACGTGCTGATTCCAAAAATATACCATGTTTATGGTAACGGACCAATATTTTCGGAAAATTCGCTGTGAAATTCGAATTTTTCGGAATTTTTAAAAATTGCGATATTTCAACTGGACGATTCTGGAAAAATGGTTTAAGTTATCTAAGAAATGAAGCCAGAAGTGACTTCTGAGGTCCAAAATCTACAAGAAAATATATTTAGTTAAATTTCGAAAATCGTCGAGAATGGGTCGAAATTTGCATAATGGAGGTAATACGAATACATAATGGAAAATTTCATTTTTGAAAAATTCATCTAAAAATTCTGAAACATTTCAGTGTATAGATCCCGGGGTGTTTATTCCAAAAAGATAGCGTGTTTATGGTCACGGAGTAATATTTTTTTAGAATGTATCTTATATCCATTGTTGCTTAAGAATTCTTTAATTTTTGTTTAATAACATTTAGATTTATTTCTTGAAGTTTGTTTTCAGTTGTGTATGAAGTTGTTATTCAATTCCCTATCAGATTTTTGGGAAAATTGCTGATCCGAACAAATCGTTAATCCGAACACACCTTTTTCCCAATTAATTAGGATTATCGAGGTTCTACTGTACACTATACGTGTAATGAAAAGAACCAAATGTCACACATGTTATGTGAAAAAGAGTATACTAGCTAAAATTTTAATTTTTTTTTTTTGTTTAGAGTGAATTTCTGGTAGATAGGTAAAATCGCACAAAAATTGCCCCCCCCTGAACGAAATCCTGTATCCGCGCCTGTGTTTATTAAACTGGTAATGTCCCGTAAGGAATCCTACCAGTTTACGCAGTTTGTCCCTTGAAAATGAGAGATAAAATTTCGTCAACTTACGGTCTGGTGTCGCCATACAAGCTCTACTATGCCGACAGCTGCTCAATTTCACCCAAATCTGCTCATGGCGTCTCTGGGTATATTGCTTTACGAGTTCGTTCGAGAGGGCGACCGAAGGCGTGATTGCCGGTTCGGGTCCCCAGAAGGGCATGCGCGCGGCTCGCTTCGCCATCTCATCTGCCCTCTCGTTTCCTTCGTTGCCACTGTGTCCTTTGATCCAACAAAGTTCCACACTATTCCTCTGCGTTACATACTTTAGCGTTTGTCTGCACTCCCAAACCAGCCCGGATCGAACCATACAGCTGTCCAGGGCTAGTAGTGCAGACTTGCTGTCAGTAAGTATGCGTATTGATTTGTTGCCGATTTCACGTTCAGCAATGATTCTAGCTCCCAGCATTATTCCCATCAGTTCTGTTTGTAAGACAGACGTGTGGGTGCCGAGAGGTACACTGATTTGTGCGTTCAGTTGTTCGGAGTAGATGCCGGCTCCTGAACCACTATCTGTTTTGGCACCATCGACATAGATTTCTATGTCGGCTCGTCCTTCTGAATTATCATTCATTGATATTCTATATGCCTTCTCATATATTAATTTTGTGCCCATTCGGTCACACCCCATCCTTAACAAGGGTATTCTGTTGAACGCCTCCGTTAAGATCCGAGTGTGCTTCGTTGTGCGGCCTTGCTTGTTCCATACTCCCAGAGAGTGAAGTCTTAGAGACGTCGTCATTGCCGCTTCCTCTATGTAAAGGTTAAGAGGTGCTAAGCAAAGAAGAGTCTCCAGAGCCGCTGTGGGAGTGGTCCTCATTGCTCCTGTAACACTGAGACACGCCATTCTCTGAACGTGTTCAAGTTGCAGGGCTGTTGTTTTTTGTCTGGCTCTGGGCCACCAAACTAAAGCTCCATAGCACAGCATCGGTCTGACTATTGCCGTGTAGATCCAGAGGGCGATCTTGGGATTTAAACCCCACGACCTTCCCACCACCCTACGACATTGCCAAAGAGCCGAGCGTGCTTTTTCCACTTTATCATCTACATGCTTCTTCCAATTCAGTCGCCAGTCCAATACAACTCCCAGGTGTTTGACTTCGTCCGAAAGTTGGAGCGTTGTGTTAAATATTTTTGGCATCTGTAGTGTACCAATTTTCCTTTTCCTGGTGGGCACGAAGGGAAGGATTCTTGTTCTGGAGAGAGTGGAGGTCCTTTGCAATATATTGTTGCGACAGGGGGGTCGCAGCGGTACGTTCAAGATGGTATTGTAACGGGCGATAAATTTACTTATTTTTGGAGATGTTGGTATGAATCAGAACAATCGTCATTGTCGTAAAAATCAAGGTTGTCCTTGTGAAACTTGGATTTTATGATTTCACACCATTCTAATCAAGGTTTATAATTTCACAGTTAAATATTGGCGCCGTTTGGCTGGACACGATGTCTTTGTCCAGTTTTATAATTTCATGGTTTAAATTTGTTAATTTTAACAAAAAGCACATTTTGCCACTAAAAATTTTCATATTACAGTTAATTAAGCCTAATTTGGTGGAAACACAAATACTTTTACGACTCCCCAAATAAACTGGTAACTTGTAAACAATTTTGCGAAAACAACTCCTTTGGAGGGGTCTTTAGTTATAAAAGTTCGAAAGATCCAAAAACGATCAGAGTCCTCTAGCCAGTTGCCTGTTTAGTGTGTGTTTGTGTTGTGACACAAAGGGGTAAGTGTTAAAATCTCCAAAAATGTGCACGATTTCATAAAAAGTTCAAAGTTTTGTTTTTATTAATATTTTTAAAGTTCAATTTAATTTTGATGATAAATCGCCCTTTGTATTCTCGATTGGATAACGTTTTCAGATTTAGATCTATTTTTAAAGAGTAATTTGCATTGAAATTATTAGTTAAACAGTTATATTGTTTGATGAACGCTGACCACGCAACTACTATAATGTTCCTTACCAAATTTTTGAGTTGTTACAAATGTTTGAGTTGTTACCAAATTTTGAGTTATGTTACCAAATTTTGAGTTATGGTACCAATTTTGAGTTTTGTTATATTTTTGTTTTAGATTTTTTTTAATTTGTTTTATTATGCTTTCAAAGATTTAGTTTCAAAGTTATAAGGTTTTCTTGAATTTATTTAAAAATGTTTTAATACTGAAGTTCATTTTCTGATAATTATATTTGCATATTAAACTACACTACAATTTATTGTTATTCCAAATTATTCTCATATGACTAAGGCCCGAATTCTGTAACTTAACCTTTTAATAAGGGATCCGTTTGTTAAAGGCTTTATCGTAAAGGAAATGTGAAAGTGAATCCTTGTGCGTCAGTTCGACTTTATGTAAAGGAACGAACGGATGTTTTTACTACGATAGTATACGCTTTTAGAAAAGGAACGCTTACGTTTATCATTGTGTCAAGAGAGACGGAATCAAATTTTCATAATATCGGTATGACGGGCTGGGGAGATTTTTAAACTTAAATTTTGTTAATTTATGAGATATGAAATTCTTGTCGTGGTCTTTGTGCTTGACATATAGTAAAAGTATTATTTATTTGCTCGTATGTTGGTTCGTGATGATGGTAACACATTAAAAACTTAAAAAAAAAATAATAAACACTTTATGAAATCATGTACATTTTTGGAGATATCAGCACTGGCCCCTTATGTACCAACACACTGGAGTGGCAACTGGCCAGGGGAGTCTGGCGTTTAATGGATTTTTTGGTCTTTTTTATAAGTAAAGACTCCTCCAAAGGAATTGTTTTTGCAAAGTTGTTTATTAGAGTTACCAGTCTATTTGGAGCATCGTAAAAGTATTTGTATTTCCACCAAATTGGGCTTAATTAACTTTAATATGACAATTTTTAGTGGTTTTTGCTAATCTTAACAAATTTAGACCATGAAATTATAGAACTGGAAGGAGACATCATTGTTCTGATTCATATATACCTTTATTGTAATTCCTCTAGGATAAATAATCATAGATTCTCCATTTCTTCCCTTTTATTTAGAAACGGTCACCACATAAAGCTAATGAAACTGACAGATAATTTGCATAAAGTGACACATATGACCATACGTTGCACAAGGGAAACTATAAAGGACTTCACCTTTATGCAACGGATCTATAAGGGTCCTATCTTTATATAAAGGACAATCCTTTTACCAAAGTGCCTTTATACTTTACAGAATTCGGCCCTAATCTCTTTTGTACATACTCATTTCTAAATTAAATATAATTATTCATTTAAGCAAAATGCATATACTTGAAGTAGTCCCTTTGTCCAGTCACTAGAATGTGTTACCATCATCACGAACCAGCCTACGAACAAATAAATAATATTTTCACTATATGTCGGGTACAAGGTCCACGACAAGAATATATACTAAATTAACAAAAGTTAATTTTGAAAATCTCCCAAGCCCGTCACAGTATAGTGTCGTATGGTCCGAAGCAGTGTGGCCTGGAAGACTGGCCTGGGATTTATACGAACCATTGATTAAATACATATAGATAGACCCATGCTATTGTTTGGAGCGAACAGGCCAACGGCCGGCGAACAAGAGATGGCGCACCAACGGTCGGCCGTCAAACGCCGGCGAAAAGCTTGGACACCAATCACGCGCATAGGTAACACAAATCACACAAATAATATATTTAATGAATCTACCACTCGATAGAGGGCGACGAAAAAATGTGTAAAAATCTCATAGTCACCATTTAAATAATTTGCAACGTTGCCAGTTGCCAGATGAGCCTAACACAAATTTGCCGTTATTTCTAGCCAAGTAGGTTTTATTTCGTTTAAAAGTTTCTGATAAAGAAATGGGATTATTATAATGAATAAAAATAAATAAAACAAACAAATTATTACTTGTTATTTTAAATACTTGTTAGTCCTAACATTATTATAAATACGGTCCGGTAACTCAAATTTTATAGAAAGAGTGAGATGTTTCAGGACGAGGCGACCGTAGGGAGCCGAGTTTTTAATTTCGAAACGAGTTCTGCGAAAAGAGTTATCGGAGGTATGTCGTTATGGATTTTATTTCATACTGTCAACATATTTTTTTTGTTCGATAAAATAATTACTATTTTGGAAAAAGTTCAAATCAAGTCACTTTTTCTGACATCGTTAGCAACCGCTGTTTGGCTAATGTTTTAATTTGTTTATTCGTGCAAATCAGCATCAAATGTTTAAACTAAAATTTATTAGTCTAGAGACGGACAGATATATACTAAAGACAAAACATATGTATTTAATCAATGTACGAACGTTAAAGTGTACATGTCGTGGATACTGGATAATATAAGACCATAGTTTAATACTGTAATATTCTTACAAATTGTGTACAAAGCAGTTTTTAATATATTTTTACGTACCGGCTGACTCTTAATGATAATGATTAAATTTTTGAGTTAGCAATGTTGTTTACCTTTGCCACAGATTACGGATACCAGATGGTTCACTTGTGGGCGTAAATGTCCGCAAATTTTCCGTGCGCATGACACTAAAATTGGTTCAGCACTTTTAAATCTCTTTGAAACTGGTTCGACAGATTAACACGCAAAATAACATTTACAATGAAGCAGATATAAGAATAAAAGTTTAAGTAATAATTCAGGGAATAAATAACATTACAAGGATTAATTTCTACGTTTTTTGGTTACGAAGGGATTTTTTAAAAGTTTTAAAATAAAATAATCAGAAAATTAGTTAAATAAATACCTACCTGCATTAATAGTTATTTATGTACCAAGGGCACAAAGAAGATGTTTATATTCGAGGGCAACGTTTACAAAATTTTGTAAGTTGCCCGAGATTTATAAACATCAAGTTGTGCCCGTGGTGCATACAAACTTTTATTTTTCACGAGAAAATCTAAAAAAGACATTAATTTATATAATTAATTCGTAAAAAAAAATTACGTGGCGTTGATTTTGTTGTCAAGGAGATTCTATGTTTATGGCAAACACTATTGACCCTTTTCCTGTAAGATCGTAAAACTTCCATAGTGGCTTTCCGTGCGCACGCATCTTCAAAACCACGTTGGAAATAGTATCCGGCACTCCGGCAGCAGAGCAAAAGCCTGTGACAACAAACCGCTTTGACAGAATGCAACCGGCTACACATGCGTAATCTGTCGCTCATTGGTTAATTTTAACTTGGCGCTCCAAAAAACTGACTTCGCCTGCGCGATGTTGTCTCACTCTGTATCATTGGAATTTATATAATGTCTACTCACTTTGCTTACAGGAAAAGGGTCAATTCACGGTGTCAACACGTATATTTTCGACCGCGAAAATGAATGAGGAAAAGTGTGAAATTCCAGAAAACATTGCGAAGAAAGCGCAAAAAAAGCAATGAAAATGTGTTACCTAGAACATCAGGATCCATATATGAAAAAGAATACAAAATTTTCCTTAAATGGAAGATTACAAATTTTGTAAATCGTATCAGCGAGACCACGGTTGTAGAATAGATAGGTTTGTACACTAATGGCTTGGAATGGCGACGCTTCTTTTCGATCCCTATATCCATGGAAAGGACACATACAGCTAGCGCCTCTACCTTGTCGAGCGGAAATCGTTCTAGTTATTTTGGGGATTTTCATTGACATTTCTTTATGAACAATACAAAATTTGTAAATGACATTTGATCGGAGTCGATAAATACGATTTCTTTTATTAATTACATCGGTTATAGACAGATGCCTATAGAGTTCTGGGTCCCTAAAACGTCAAAAACCAGGCGACGCGATCGGCAATTGGCGTCGCTGACCAGGGATATGCAAATGTATGCTAGTGTATCAACCTATCTATTCTACAACCGTGAGCGAGACAGTTATGATGGCTTCATCTTATAGACTTTTTTACGTTTGAACAAAATTTCTACACAAAATATACAGTATGTATATAAATTTTTTATTTTCACGATATTTGTTTATGATTGTGTCCATCTATTTAAGAATAGCTCAGTCGTGTTGGTAGTGGTGGTAGTGCTGTCAGTTGTTTCAATTTTTGAGGTTATGTGCATAGCGAAAATGTAAGGTTATTAACTTATTAGTCCGAGTATGACATTGAATATAAGTTTCCAAATCGTGAATTGCCGACAATCAGTGCAAATTTGAACAATACTTAAAGGAAATTAAGGTAACCAAAGCTAGAATTGCTTCATTAGTGTAATAAAACTATTTCAGACAACCAAAATGTCAGCAGTGAAAAATTCAGAAGCATTCCCAGCGGAGAGATTTTCATGGAAAAACGTTCACAACTGTAAACTATGCCCATATTTCACAACTTCGTATTACTGTTTGGTGAACCACGCGAAACTGCACCGTATCCCCGTGGAAAAATTTACATGTGGAAAAGCCAGAATTGAAGTTTTTAACTGTAAAGACTGTGATTTTCAAACTGAACTAACACTCTGGTTGAAGCAACACGTTGATAAATACCATGGTCGTCAGAGAGAGTTTAGAAACAATTTATCGAATGAGGAGTTCTACATACAAAACTACGTTTGTGAAAAGTGCTATTTCGAAACAAATTTTTCATTAAAATGGCTTCAGCATACTTTAGCATGCACGGGAAATAAAAAAAATCGTGAAAGTGAGAGTGCTCTGAACCAGTATGCCACACACAGTTATGATTTCAAGCAGACTGAAGAGATACGTTGGTTTCACTGTACAGAATGTTCCTACAAAACTAAACTCAATATTTATTTAAAACGTCACGTAGAAAATAAACATTTGAACAAGCGTTATGGATGTGATAAGTGTCCATTTAAATGTAGATTTGAAACATCTTTAAGAAAGCACACAAAAATGGTTCATTTAGATGAACACCTTGGTGAATGGCACAAATGCGAAAAATGTCCCTTCAAAACCAGAGCAAAGTGTACTTTAAAAAGCCACATAAATAGCTTACACTTGAACGAAGAAGAGGTCAAATGGTATGAATGCAATAAGTGTCCTTTCAAAACTAAGCATAAATCATCTTTGAGGATGCACACAATTGCAAAACATCTAGACAAAGAGGAAATTAAATGGTATAAATGCAAAGATTGTTTATACAAAGCAAAGAAGAACACACATTTAAAGCGACACATAATTAGAAAACATCTGCCTGAAGAAGAAGTAACCTGGTTTAAATGTGACTATTGTCCATTCAAAACTAATCTCGCGGCGAGTTTAAAAAGCCATATAAATTGTCGTCATCTGGATGAAGATAATGTTACGTGGTACGAATGCGTGAAGTGTCCATTCAGAACTAAAAACGTTTCAAGTTTAAGAAATCACATGAATTATCAACATGTAAATAAAGAAAAAGGTAGGTGGTACGAATGTGAAAAGTGTCCGTTTAGAACTACATTTAATTCATATTTAAAGAAGCACGTAAGTATTAAACATTCAGAAAAACCACAATGAAGGTATGAATTCTTTCTATAAAAGCAAAAGAAAAGATAATTTAAAACGTTGTATATACATAAATATTCACATATAAAGCGAAACGTAGTTGTGATGTTAAATGCTAAAGTAAAAATTGATGATTTTTTTAAAACCACAAAAAATCATATGTAAGATTTAAGCTACTTTTAAGTTGTATGTGGTAGTATCAAGTCGAATTTATATAACTATAATTACGGTTTTGGTTTAGTGCTGGTCTTAAGATATTTATGTCAGCATTTTTATAACATGTTTTACATTTTCTGACTATCTTTTCATTAAAATTTTGAAGAAAAAACTATGTTTTATTTATAGTAAATTAGAAATCCATTGTTCGCCCTCGTTCCTCGTAATATTTATTACAGTAAGATCCAATTCAACACTAATTTCTACTTTTTTAGAACATTTTCGTTTGTCTAAATTTATCGATGCAGCTAATAGTGTATTATACATGGAGCTGAAAGCTATTTAATTTTTTCATTCCTTTCGAGAAAAAAAATCATTATTTCTGGAGAAAGGAATGAAACTTTTATTTTGTATACTATTTTATTCACAATCTTTCTAAGTATATTTTAAATAAGTAATTAAAAATGGTGTGGTAATCCAACATCCCTCCTAAATGGGACGTGTGCACAAACTTACACAACCCTCGAAAATTTAAAATTTGGCCTTGAATTGTTATGGTCAACAAAATTAAACCTACGTCATGTTTTGAAGATGGCGGAATGTGTTCAAATGCAAACTGATGATTCTGCCACTCCAGTATGCAGTATAATGGTTAAATCCTTATCCCATCACTGGCAGTAGTAATCTATTGTTAAGCAAGTTAACTTTTACACATCATAAAACCGAATTAGAACTGGGGAAACTATAATATAATATGTCGTAATAGATTAAAAGTTTTCTGTTTTATAACAATTTTTTAAATTATTATTTGTGAAAGAATATTCTTTTAATTGTTTTTTTCTAGTTGAAACTATCTCTCAAATAGAATTAAATGAACAAGGACTAAAGTTTCCTTGCTTTATTACAGAAATTGATTACACAGTACCTTCTTCACGTAGAAACTGTGTTGTAGTATAACACAATAAAAGATTTTAAAGTTTAGAAAGTTTTTTTCTTAAGATAAAAGTAAAAAAAAAGTATTACTCTACTTTATGCTTCAAAATATTATTTCATAAAGTTGGTAGACACCATGCCCAACAGATTAAGACAATGTATAGAAAATAATGGTTTGTATACTTCACATCACTTTCTAGTATGTTTGGAATTTGACCAAGTTGTTTTTTTCTTCTGAAGTTTCTTAGTTTTAAATTTATATTTTCATTTCAACAAATTTTACGTAAGTGTTTTTATTATGCCAAGGACATATAATAATTTTTTAACATTTAACAACAAATTGTTTTATTTCTGTTTTTAGGAAAAAAAAACGAGTATGCTCAATTAATTATCTAGTCTCTCCTTTGCGTTGAGGAGACAAAATTAATAAAATTTCATTTTCTTTTAACGCAGATATTTGTTATCGGAGTGTGCTAATAGTCGAATTCTTTCGAAGTATGAACATGAACTGTCCAAGTGAAGCAGGCACTGGAAAATTGGGAGTTCATTTTTTCCTGTTGGTCATGTACTTTAAATGTAATTCAAACATAAACCGCATAATCAAATTTTATAATTTGAGGATTTGTTGGACTATACTTTAAGGGCGAGGGAGGTTCTGTAGAAATAACTTTTTGGTGTGAACAGATATAACGTTGTAATATACACTTACCCCCTTGGCTAACGAATAAAAAAATCATCACAACTGAGATAGGGCGGGTGGGCGGGGCTACATTTTGCCTGTTTTTACTTAATATATGTAGACTTATTTCGACAACAAGAAACTTAAAATATCTCTAAAATGTAGGAGTTCAAAAGTAATTTATGTTGAATACTCACATAGCTATAATTGATAGTTGTTTTTATTTACCTTTACAAATTTAACCAGTGGCCATTTAATTAAGACGCAAAACTCGAATGGTCGTAAGTTCTAACAATTATCAATTATATTTAAAAATCATGTTCTAAAGTACAGTGTTCATTTAAACTTATGATCACTCATGTCGTAATGCAAGATACAATTTAGTTTTAGTTTCATTAACTATAATTGATACTTCTATTAGTCAAATGTGGGCAATTAATACATAACTGATAAAATTGTAACGTAGTAAGATGCATAATATTATTATTATTATCTTTACCGAGCAGAGGTAACCTATAATGCTCGTCAGAGGGAACACATTATAGCAGCTATTTTCAGTTTACTACTATTTCTTCGTTAAGAAGTGTTCGGGCGGATGGTAGATAACGCAATATTCTATAACACATCATTCAGATGAATATTTAAACTTTTTTTAAATGAATTAACAGTTCTCGAGTTAGCAATTTGTTCATCTAAATTATTCCATAAATGGAACACCCTGTTGGTTAAAAAGTTTTGACGCCACCTTGTTTTATATTCCTCATGAAACAGTTTCGATGTATGTCCACGTAGTCGAGATGTGTTAGCCATAACAAATATATTACTTAAATTAATACTGAATTTATTTGACAGTATGTTATAGGTGCAGACAAGATCATTTACTATACGACGTTTTTCTAAGGATGGTAGCTTTAATTCTATTAATCTGTTTTCGTACGACTTGTTCTTTAAGTTTACCACAGTTTTGATGTAGCGTCTTTGAACTTTTTCTAATAACTGTTTTTCCTTAACAAGATATAGTGACCATATCACACTGGCATATTCGATAATGGGCCGAACATACGAGACAAAGAGTTTTTTCATTAGGTCCCCGTTTGGATTAGTAAAAATTTTCTGGAATAGATAAGTTTTAATATTAGCTCTTTTCACAACGTGTGCAACATGTTAAGAAAATACGAGTTCTTTGTCAATTAAGACACCCAGGTCGTTTATTTCACGAACCGTCTTCAAGGAATGGTTTTCAATTATATAATTTGTATTTGGGTTATTTTTCCCCAACCGGAGGACAAAACATTTGCTGTTGTTTAACGGCATTAACCAGTCACAAGTCCATTTGTGTATGATTTGAAGATCATCTTGAATCGCCTGCGAATTCTCTAGTGGATTTCCATACAACCTGCCATCATCAGCGTAAAAAGAATGGGAAGGCTTTATCAAAGCTAAGAGGTCTGATATGTATAAAAGAAAAAGAATCGGACCTAGTACGGATCCCTGTGGTACGCCCGATAGGACTGTGCGCTTAGTAGAAGAGAGTGAGCCGACTTTGACTGAAAAACATCGATTTTTAAGAAAGGCCTCTATCCACCAGTCCAGCTTGTTCTAAAAATTATATCCAAAATTAAGTCTTTGTTGGACAGTGTATATACATAACACTTTATGTTAGTTGTTAACAAAATCGCCATTTAAAATTATAGTTAATTGACAATAAAACGAATGTAAATTATTATTTTAAGTATTTGAATTAAGTCGGGACTCAATTTTGTCCACGGGAAGAATAAATCACGTATGTTATTACAAAACTATAATAGTTAATTAAGCGATGGAGAGCCATAATTACCATTGTTGTTTTAATAGTGATCTGCAAAATTTTTTGTCTTTGTTTTTAGGGTAACATTTAACTATAATTTAATTAAATTGAGAAGACTATGGATGTGAGTGTTTTAACGAAGAATAATTTTCGTTGTGCCACTTATCCAAAATAGTGAATCTGACCAAAAAACTAGTGTATATTTAACTTATGTTTCTTTCTAACGAATAAAAAATTCATGATAGTTAAGATCAGGGTGGGTATAGGTGGAATTTAATCTTTGGTTTTCTTTTTAATTTAACACATATAGTTTTACTTAAACAACACTATTTCTTAAGAGCATGTTCCACATGATAAATTTCTTGTAGAAAAATTAGGATTTTACAATTAAACTCCGCCCCCCGGCTCACGACGAATCAAAAATTATCAGAATTGAAATAGGTCGGGTGGGCGGGGCTTATATTTTGCCCTTTTTTTCTTAATATACATACTTTTCTTTCCACAACAAGAAACTTAAAAAATGTTTAAAATGGTAAATTTTTTGAAGGATGGAAATATGCATTTTGCAATTAGACTCCGCTCCTTGATCTGACAACGAACGAATTCATCACAACTGAGATCGGGGGATTAATTTTTGTGTTTTTTTTTTCCCTTTGATATATATAGGTTTTTTTTTAACAACATAATACTTAAAACATGTTTCATATACGTATATATATGATAAAAAAATAAAATATAAGCCCCACCCACCGGCCCTATCTCAATTGTGATGATTTTTTTTTATTCGTCGTGAGTCCGGGGAGCAGAGCTTAATGCAAAATTCTCATTTCTCTACAAGCAAGTATCTTCAATTATCTTGTGAATTTGTGATTCTTCTTTTCACAATAAGAAACTTCAAACGTAAATTTTTGTTCGAAAATATGGATTTTTCAATTATGCTCCGCCTCTTCTCGGTCTGAAAACGAACAAAAAATTCATCGCATTTATTTATTCATCGTGAACCGGGGGGTGGAGCTTAATAGCAAAATCCATATTTCTCTACAAAAATGTACCATTTTGAACATACTTTAAGTTTATTGTTATGAAAAGAACATTACGTATATTAAAAAAAACAAGGCTAAACATAAACCCCGCCCACCGTTCTATCGCAGTTATTGAGTTGTGATGATTTTTTTTTATTCGTCGTAAGTTGGAGGAGTGGAGCTTAATTGCAAAATACATATTTCTCTACACAAATGTACCATTTTGACATGTTTTAAGTTTTTTGTTATGAAAAGAAGTTACACATATCAGTAAAAAGCAAGGTTAAATATAAGCCCCGCCCACCCGACCTATCGCAGTTGTGATGATTTTTCATTCGTCGTCAGCCGGAGGGTGGAGGTTAATTACAAAATACATATTTCTCTACAAAAATGTACCTTTTGAACATGTTTTATGTTTTTGTTATGAAAAAAAAGATTACATATATTAAAAAAAAAAAAGGTTCAGTGTAAGCAACGCCCACCCGCCCTATCGCAGTTGTGATGATTTTTTTTTCGTCGTGCGCGGGGGGGGGGTGGAGCTTAATTGCCAAATCAATATTCCTATACAATAACTTACCATTTCTTGTTATGAAAAGAAGATTACATATATTTAAAAAAAGCTAAATATAAGCCCCGCCCACTCGCCCTATCGCAGTTGTGATGATTTTTTATTCGTCGTGAG